CAAGAGGAAATTACGATAAATGTTCGCTTTTACATGGTCATTTGTAAAATTGTCCAAAATTTATTCAATATCCATTTTACAATATTTTAGAACAAAATATTATTGTTAACAATTTGTAATTCCACACAAAAAACAAAAATGTGCACACAAGTAAAAATTTTGTTGACCAATAAATTTTTGACACAATCTATCCTACTTATTTCAAAAGTACACGTTAAATTACAATAAATACTGTATTTCTCATTGACAAAGATATTAAATATCGAGAATTATATTTCAAATGTCAAAAACTTTATGAAATGTAAAGAACTCTCACGTTCGGAATGAAATCTTATCGTAGACAAATAAAGTATCAAGATAAACAGAATTCAAATATCGATAACAACTTTAAAATTGTCAAAAACGTCATTTTAATGTAACTTCTCATATAAGCTACTTCTCGAAATTCGTGACAGTGAAAAAAAAATTACTTCATTTTTCATTAAGACTATAATAGACAATTTACTACTAAATTTGGCCATTTTTGCAAGAATTATCAAAATTAAACACTTTTTAATCGACAAGTATGAAATTAGACAATTTTTTAAATTCCTCAAACCACTTTTAATTAAGGACCCACAAATATAACTCACTTGTCAATCAATCGTTTTACATGTTTGTCTATAGCTTAACCGGTTCATAAACCACCCAACATGCTTTAGACAATAAAGAAGAATTGTAAGTACGAGAAAAACGTATGCACGTAAAATACAGGAAAAGGACCGATTATCCCAAGAGTGAAACTTGGAAAACCTCATTTCCGAAGAAACGAGTAAATAAAATAATCAAAAGCTGGCAGTGTCAAAACTCATAATAGTATTAAGTCATTATTAGCATAATTGAGAATCAAAGAGACGATGCAAACAACATTCATGGACACGAACTCCCACATTTCGAAGAAAATAACAATGCCACAGATGATTTTGGCAATAGTTCACAAATAAAGAGACCTTCGAGCTTGAAATTGCGAAGCATGTGTGAACTAAAATAGAAATGCACATGTTGTGGCGAATGAGAAAAAGATTCGGAAACATATCCAACATTAAAACCTTCAGTTGCAAGCAGGATGTTGAGAGAGGACTGTTGCCTAAGCAGATAATAAATCAGTAAACAGAACTCTTTCCAACACCAAAAAATTCAATTAAACTCGAGATGAAATGTAAGTGGATAAAATGACAATTCCAGATTAGGGCAACCAATCTCTCGTTATTCCATCTTTGACCCCCACTTCAATACAAGCCTTGTTCCTAATATTTTGTGGTCGTTTAAATGAATACTTTTTTCGCCAATCTGTCTAATTCATTGCTTAAAACTTTTAGCAACTACAATAAATCATGTTCTTTTGCCCTAACCCTCTCTCGTCTCTCTTCTAACAAGTTCTGCTGAGGTTGCATCACTCTTATGAGCAGGAGACTCTTTATTAAGTCTACGCAACATATACCCCAACCGCCCAAGTCATCCACTTAAAAATCAAATCAACTTCTTGTATTATATTCCAATTCCTCGTCTCTCATCCATTCTAGCATGGCCATACATCCATCTAAATATCCTCATTTCAACTTCGTTCGTCCTATAGATATTTTGTTCCCGAACACTCAAACACTCAGTACATAAAACACAGCATTTCTAATAACCATAGAAACTCCTCTAAGTTACCAAACGAGAAAGAGAAAATAGGAGAGAAAAAAGTAGTGATACAACATACAGAACGTGAAAGATAGCCCAATAAAGAACGAAATAAGCAGAAGAAAAGAAGAGAGGAAAAAAAAAAGAGAAATTTGGAAGGAAGAAACATTGACTAAATGTAATTCTAAGTAATCAAAGCTGTCCGCAAGCTGAATCCCTGATTATCTTTTATTCTTCTTGTAATTGGTAAACAATTCTATTAAAGGGAACTTCTAATAAATTTAGCCTCAGTTTAGTTCATATTTTTTAAAACTCTTTTCCGTAAACACATTTTCAACCCCCACATTCTCCCAATAAAATAATTTTACACGTGGACGCATAATTTTTCCTACCTTTTTAACCACATTCTCCAAAAATATAAAATCAATATTCACAAAATATATTTACAAAAAGTCTACATCAAACGAGCTCTCAGTCATATGAAGGACCTCATCCAAACAAATCTAATCTGATACAGATAATATTTAAAGTACTTTATTTTCCCTAAAATATGTTAATTAATTTCTCATCGCTCTACAACTAAAGCTATTACATCTCAGATCTGCAACTAACTCTACATAAATTCTTAATAGCATTCATTAATATAATAGTAACTCACTTACTCTACAACCACCATAACTCCCACTTTTGAACGACCCGAAAACAAATTCACTGAAAAATAAACTAGCATTCAAAGGCGATTGGTCTCAACAAATTGTCAAAATAGTAACTCAAACATGCATTGTTAGGTAATCAAAAACAAGGTTTAAGAAGATTCACAATTGGTATTAGGTTTGAAAATTAAACTAAAACCCAAAATATCCGAACTGAATACTGGCACAGAATAACACTTCATCATGGGACACAAATGTTATAAAATTCAAATTGAAAATGCAATGGCTACAAGGT